AGGTAATAAAAATAAAATTTTGTCTAGATTGGTACTTTCTCACTAATTCTTACTTTATTTTCTATTATGGTTTCGAAGAGAGAAAACATATTTTTTTGACCTTTTCTTTTATCTACCAGTTTTGACATTGCCCCCTCCCAGGTGTGTACTACCCATACTGTGCCCATATTCCCCTGCCCTACATTCCCTCTCAGAGCCACAGGTGTCTCTACCATCTGTCCCTGTCTGAGCCACTGAAGGAGAGAGGACACCTGTCACACGCTTCACATTGAATTGCTACACGTCCACTGATGAGGGAGGAACCACCAGGAAATGCAAAGGCAGAATGGAGTCTCAGAAGCTCTGCACTCATCTCTCTTCCATGTGGCCAATGTCAAGAGCAAGAAGAAGGACTATGTAAAAAGTCCCTCTGCTGAAAATACAAAGACCCCACTGGGGACTCATTTTTTTCTCCTTCACAAAGAGGTGACGTTTCACTACCCTCAGAAAGAAGGTAGAAACTTTCTCTGCCCAGAGGTGTCCAAGATGATTGACACTGGTTACTAATTGAAACTTAAATATGGCATTCACTTCTGTCATTCTAGAAATGCCACACGCATCACGGACCTCTATGAACTGGCCATGTGCAAGACAGCCTCAGACTTTACTCACAAGATGATGCTAAGGGCTCTCCAGTGGAACATGGTAGAAACAAACCTTTTTAAACAAGTCTTTCCGAAATGCACGTAAAGCAACCTTGCATGCCCTCATTCATGTGTCTAAGCCCCTCCTTGGGCAATTTCAAACGTTAGCAGCACAGACCTTAAAGACAACGAGTTCCATGTATTCACTGCCCACTGGGCAAAGCAGTTCTACCTATTACTTGTCCTTCAATTAGACACTTGAGCGAGCTGGAGGGTGCAAAGAAAGATCAAAGGGTCTAATCATGGGAATATTTCTAATTCTAATTTCAATCAGCTATTAGTACCCAAACTATTATTTATGTGGCTGTGAAGGAAAAATGAAAATGATTTAACTTTGTGGATAAACACTGATTTTTTAAAACTATTTAACAATATTTAGCCTTGTCAGCATGCATAAAAGAAAAATTTTACGTTCATAATATCTATGGGGATAAAGTACACTCAGGTTAAATAGACTATTTTGAGCTAATCATAAATAATATGAACTATCAAAAATGCAATTCACATTTAATTACATCTCATCACCAATCTTTCTTAACAGCCGTGTGAGCCATGGAATGAGGCAGAGAACACCCAGCTGTAAAGCAGATCCAGTGCACTAACATTCACTTCGCAGGTGTATGTCATTGATGCATTCGTTCTTTCAATATTTTGACAAAGGTGGATTTAGGGCTAAGTATCAAGCATTTTGCTAGGTTTATTCATATTTGTTTTATAAGTTTGCATAGGTTAGCATCATCATTTTCAGAAGAGAAAACTGACAATTATATGGTTTAAGTAATTAGCCCAAGAACACTTCCATCATAAAGTCTGAATCTTGATTTGCAGCTTCCTTTGCCACCAAACACCTATAACTTCAGTGTCCACTTTGCTCATTGCAAACGGCATTAAAATGGAGTCTTGGCAAATCATTCACTAGGGTTTTCCTTCTTTCCTCCCTCTTCCCTTCACCAATTTTTCCTCCCTTCCTTCTTTCTTCCTTCATTCCATTCTTCCTTCTTCCTACTGTTTCTCTTTTTCTTTATTTCTTCTTCTCTCTACTTAAGCATGCATGAAGTAGGTGACTCTTCAAAACCAGGCTGAACTTAGGTCTTCAATGGGTCTTCCTTCCTGTCCCATTTCTTCTTTGGAAATACAACAGCTTGAATAAACAAGCGTATTTTAGGTTGATATTTTGCCTACACGAAGCAAAACATTGCTACCTGTTGAAAGTCTTATTTTAAAATTCCAGGTCTACAATATACTTGGTGATAATCGCCTGACTCTCAGAGGAAAGTTTTGGCGGGGGTCCATAATTGGCAGCCATCAGCATAGAGACAGTAGATGAAAAAATCATAAGAATAGGCGAGCTGCCGAGAGAGAGAGTGTATGCATTGAGAAGACCAGTCAGCCAAGACAAAAAATAACCAACCAACCAGCCAACCAACAATTCAGCAAAACCTTAGGGAGCAGACTCATGTAAATGGGAAGTGGAGGTGGTGGAACCACACAGGAGCAAGAGGAGGGTCCAGGAAGTCCTAGAAAGTCCTAGTGGTTAAGAAAACCTCAGGAAACAAAGAAGAATTGTGTATAAAAATAAGTACGTTAAATTTGAATTATCAGGGTCTACGTTTAGCCTAAATCAACGCATAAAAGTAGCCCAAGAATGACAGCAGCCCATTTGCCAACCACAATGCCCACTGGATTGTAGATTCTCGCCTCCAACACTAACGTGGATAAAGGACTCCAGCACTCATTGCAGACTGGCTGATTCTGAGCCCTGGGGCAAAAATAACGTCAGGAGGGGCCTGCAACTCGCTGATGTTGTCAGAAAGCAAGAATATTTTTTCAACATAAAAGGAATTCTAAAGGAAAAGAGAACTTTAATTAAAGGCTCTCACTGGTCCAGTGGTGAAAATCTTGAGAATTAAAAAACAAAACACTCTCATAGTAATGGCTTATGGTTAATTGAAAGAAATTGACTTTGTGAAAGGCAATGAGTTAATTACATTCAAAGGAAAAATTTGATTCAAAAGGAAAAATATAATAGGATATTTTTATTTGAATAAGTAGACAGTATTTGTACATGCGCATCCGTGTATGAATTTCATTTATTCTATTAATCATATGGCTGTGTGTGTGTGACTAAAGTAATTACACCAATTGTCTGGTGTTTTAGAATATGCTGAAATATAAGTACAGTAATAAGGTTTATAGCGATTGTAATCTTTATGTCTTCTGTCTGTTATTAGGGTCTATTAACTAATTAGAAAAGAATGGCTATTTCAAAATGCCATTTAATTTCTCTAAAGAAATTTAATGAATCTGATACTACATGTTCAAGGCCTTAACTATTTTAAGTCATATATGGCATATATATATACATACATTTATATTTATATCTTTATGTATTACCTAGAGAGTCTGGATTAACAGAAGCCCAATTTCAAGCAGGAAGCTATCAACAGTGGCCAAACAGGACTGAAAATGTTCACCTGATGGCCGGGGGGACAGTGGCAGAGCAGATTTAGTCAACTGAGTGTTGAGGATGGAAGCCCGGAAGGTGAGCGTCATTGGGATGACCTGAGCAGCCAAGACTAAAGGGGCAGGCGGAGACGTGAGAAGTGTGCAGAGTCCCGGTGTGTGCTCATCGAAACATCTGGGAGAGCAGTGGCCCTGCCAGGAAGGAAGCACCTAGGAGTGATGCAGAACCAAACTGAGTAGCAAACGGATTAATCTGATCAAGGGCTGAAGTGCCCTGAGCGGGAGGCCTGAACCCGTGGTCAGAACCGGCCGCTACAGGACTGGTGTCCAGAGCCTCGGGCTGGGCGATCCCTCCTCTTAGAAGCAGGGTCCTCTCTATTAACCGACATGAGGACACTTAACAAGGCATGACGAGGCCATCCAGGTGGTGAGGAAAACTAGACCGTGCACCTGCTATGCCAGATGCCCCACCACAGCCAGAAGTCTCTAATCTATAAATAACCGTGTCCCACTGAGGAGGGAACTTCAACAATTTTGGGAGAATAAATTCCAATCTGCTTGGGATTCTAATCCTCAAGTTTTGGAAATATTAAAATAATATACTTAGTAGATCTTTAAACCCAAGAAAGCTTAGAATCAATACCAGAGATGGTGAATTGTATCAAACCTGCATATTTTATTTTTCTGTTAAAGAGTATTTGAAGAATTTTTTTATTTAAAGTGTTTATAATTGTTAAGCTAATTCACCACATCATATTACAGATTCACCATTTTTCCTAGCCAAAATACAATTTGAAATCAATTTTTGACTTTCAATTTTAAGTTGAAAAGGATAAGAAATCTATCTAAATACTGAAATTAAATTGGAATGTTAAAGAAAACTTGTCCATTTATTAGTTATATTAGCTTATTTAAATATACAAGACAGTTTTGTTTGTCAAAGGACCTTTGAATGCTTAAGAAGAAAGTAGATATATTAAATTTGCGAGTACAGTTTAAACTATAAAAAGAAATTTAATTCACTGGGCTTTTAAAGAGCTTCCTTAAAATAAATGTTAAAATGTATTAGTTTTGTAAATAGGATATTGGGATTTGTAAGCTAAATTTAAAGGTTTAAGGAAAATCTTGGGATTTGGAATTTTACTTTACTATTTTGATTATTAATTTAAAATCAAGTAGCCGCAGATAGTCTTTTCTCTGCATGGAAACAATCATAAAAGAAACAACTCATACCAGCAGAGTGGACCGAGATGGTACTGGGCAAGTGGACAGAGACCACTCCGGAGGCCTAGTGAGAGGGGAGAAGACAGACAGACCCATTCATTGTAACCGCAACTGGCACCACAGCCCTCCCAGGTTTCCCTCTCCTTGGAGGGAGAGCCATCTGATTAGGTGCAGCGGGTGCCGCGGAGGGATTCCGATGGGAAGGGGCCTCTCTTCCGCTGAGTTGGCCAGGACCAAAGGGAAGAATCAGGCCCTTATCTCAAGCACAGCCCCGAGGCTCCCAGAAGTCACCAGCGTTCTCATGAAGAAACAGGGAAGCTAGGGCAGGCGTCCAGGGGCCAGGGACCCAGGTGACGGCAGTCCTACAACCCCCTACTCTGTCTCAAATCACTGAAATGCTGTGGCAACTCCTAGAGTCTTTCGCATGACCCAAGAGCCTAGTGAGGCGGAGCCCAGGATGTGGGTGGACCGCGCGGGCTCTGCTCAGGCTCCATCCCCACCAACCAGGTGACTCTGGTCAAGGGACTAACTTTCAGTTCTGCATCTGGAAAACGCAGCTAAAGAGAGAACCGACTTCATAGGTCCATTGTGAGAATTAAATGGAAAAAAAAATAATTGTAAAGTCCTTACATCAGTGCCTGGCACGGAGAAGGTGCTCAAAAGCTGGCAAACCTGAAGAAGAGCGGAAGTAAGAGAAAAACTTCCCAGGGAGAGAGGCTGGTTTCATTCCCGGGACCTCGGTGACTGCTGCTGGGCAGAATCGACATCCCATGGGCCTGGACGGGAGCCGCTAAGACTCAGTGGCAGCAGAATGGTCCCCATTTTCCTGTTCTCATCAAGGTCTCCCCACAGACCTGGATCTCAGTATTCCCTCCAGGCCCGTCTCCCCTTACCAAGGATGCTGAAGAGCTGGTTGCTAGGAGACCAGGTGAGAAGGCGCCAATCAGGTGATTCCCCTCTCCCAACAACTTAGCAGAGAGCAAGCTCTCATTTCTGCTCTTATAAAACCGCTACTTCTAAATTCCTTCCAAAGTCCCATTTCCAAGAAGTTAACTTCCTCTTCTCAACCCACGTAATTAACTAAATCCATTTCCAGTGCTCTTCACTCTTTGTGTAAATCCATGTTTCTATTTGTTATTGTTTGCTTTCTGTGTGAGGGACATCCTCAGGAACTATTTCAGCTTTTGTATATCTGAAAACGTCTTTATTTCACCTTTGTTTTTTGAAAGACATTTTTGCTGGGTATATAATTTTAGGCTGGCTGTCTTCCCTTTCAGTACTCAGAGCTGTCGCTTCACTGTTTTCTTGTTGCACTAATTCCCACGGGACATCTTCTAGCATACTTAACTCTGTTCCTTGGAACTTGATGTTTTTATCTGAAGAGTCTTTTTTTTCCCTCTGGCTCTTTTAAGACTTTACCACTGGTTTGACCAATTTGATTATGATTATGACGTGTCTTGGTTACTTTTCTTCAGTGTATATCTTTCCTTCTTTTTCTTCATCCTCCTCTTCCTCCTCCCTCTCCTCCATATTCTTCCTTATTGCTGTCAGGTTCGTTGAGTTTCTACGATCTCTGGGATTATTTTGACCATCATTTCTTAAACTACTTTTCTGCCCCCTCTTCCTCCTTTCCTTTGGGGACTCTGAATATATGTATATCAGGCTGCTTGATGTTGTCCCACGGCTCACTGATGATCTGTTTATTTTTTTAAATTTCTTTCCTTCTGTGTGTTTCATTTTGGATAGTTTCAATTGCTGTTTCTTCAAGTTTACTATTTTTTCTTCTTCAGTGTCCAATCTGCAGTTGTTCCTATCCAGTGTATTTTTCCTCTCACACGTATTCATTTCTTAAGGATTGATTTGGGTCTTTTTTAAATTATGTCTTCTGTGTCTCTACTTAATTTTTGGATCACATTTACATTAACTGCTTTATTCTATGCTTTTCTGCCAATTCTAATATTTGTGTCAGTTCTAGGACAGTTTCAATTGCCTGAATTTTTCTCTTCCTATGGGTTATACTTGCCTGATTCTTTGTATGCCTGATAATTTCTGGTTGGATGGCAGATATTATGACTTTCCTTCTTGATACTGGACATTTTTATATTCCTGTAAATATGCTTGAGCTTTGTTCTGGGATGCACTGAAGTTACTTGGAAGCAATTTGATCCTCTTAGCTCTTGCTTTTAAGATTGGTATGGCAAGACTGGAGAGATGCTCAGTCTATGGCTGATTAATTCCTGTTAATGAGGCAAGACCCTCTGGGTACTCCACCCAATGCCTCCTTAACGATGAGGGTTTCCAGTCTGGCTGGTGGGAACAGCACTGTTCCCCGTACTCTGTGACTGCTGGGCTCTGTTATTTCTTGTCTTTTCATCTGGTTCTTTCCAGCCTTAAGTCATTTCCTTCCAAGCAGGTACTGATCAGGACTGGATACCCAGAAGGTGCCTGCCTCAGATCTCCAGACTTCCCTCTGTGGGCAGCCTTGTCCTCTCTCATACTCTGTCTTGCAAACCCTAGCTGCCTCAGTCTCCTGAGACCCTCCGTTCTGTCTCCTCAACTCAGGGAGTCTGGCTATGCCCCCTCTCCCCGCATTGTGTGGTGTCCCAGAAACTCTCTAGGGGGGTAAGTGGAGTAACCAGAGGACTCGCAATGTCTGTTTCTCATCTCTCAGGGGTCAGCGTCCTTCCTTGCTTGATATCCAGTGTCTTGAAAACAGTTGTCTCATGTATTTTGTTTTTGGTCGTTTCTGGTGGGAGGGTAAATCCATTCTTGTTACAGCATATTGGAACTTTAATTGAAATTTCCGTGTCCAGTTTTGGTCACTTACTAAACCAAGTCTGCATGTCCCTCATGTTCACTGAACGCTCAGCCATTCTGCCAGGCGTTCTGCTTTGTTCTCGTGAGTGTTTCCTGTACCCCAGGCACCAAACTAAGCGCTCGGTATTTATTAATGCATTTAAATCTCGAAAGTTGTTTGAGGTGTATACAGTTATTTTAATATTTGCATTTTGCACACAAAGAAATGGGATTAAGGGGGTAAAGAAATATGCACAAAGAGCACTGCTTGTGAGTGATGGAAGCAGGGCTTGAACTCAGACCATCTGCGTCTGGTGCTGCCCTCCCGGCCCAGGTGGAGTGTATTGACCGCGATTAGAAACTTATTTCCAAGGCAATACCCAATGGTGATCTTTCTAAACAACAAATCTCGTGCTCCAGTGTCAAATATTTAAGCCTGTCTCAGGCAGAACACTGAGCAAGGCAAAGCTGCAGATCTCCTTTCCTATAAACAGAAGAGCAGTTTCCTGTCTTCACATGAGGATGGAGGAGCTGATTAACGCTCGTCGAAGACTCAGGATGAAGTGCTGAAGGAGGAGATGGGAGATGTTGGATAAGACCTCCCACAGTATGCTCTTCGCTCCATAGGAAGATCTTCTGGCTGCGTACATGGCTTAGCAGAAGGAACAGGAGGGGCCGGGACCCGGGGAAGGAAGAGACGCAGAGTGCTTTGGAGGCCCTTCCCCGAGATCCGAGATCCAGGCATCCATGTGGTGCTTACCACGCGCTGTGCCAGTACTTAACATGGTGAGGTATCTCCCTCACAACGACCCCAGGAAATGGGCACTCTGAATACCGTCACATCAAATATGGCAAGTCTGAGGCTCAGAGAGGTTGAGTGGATCAGCCAAGGTCACACTGTCAATAGGCGATGAAAGTGGAAGTCACACTTAGGCCATCTGGCTCCAGCGTCCCCATTCTTAAGCAATATCTTCCCCTGTCCCCCAAAGCACATTATGTGAATTAATCATTTAATCCTCCCAGCAACCCTATAAAGTGGGTACTATTACTCCCCAATGCGTAGATGAAGAAACTGGAGCAGGAAGAAGTTAACTAGTTTCGAGGAGGAAAAATTTCATCTGAACTTAATGTTGCCATTTATAACAACGATGGCAATAATAATAACCAACATTTACGGAACAAGCACTGCTCTAACCGCTTTGTCTAGATGAGACATATGAACTTAGGAAATCTTTTCAGTTACTCTGTGAGACTGATTCTTCACTTCAGCGTGAGAGGCCACCCAAGCACACACATTCCAAGTGGCTGCCGTAGGTCACTCGGGTGGTGAGGGGCAGAGCTGGCATTTCCCCCCAAGGCAGGCTGACCCTAGACCCTCACTCATGACCTCTCTGCCACACACACATGCACACACGCACAAACTTGCACACACACACACAAAAAAACATGCACACACACCATTATACACGCACTACACAAAAGCATGTACACACTCATATACACAAGCGCAATTAACGTACATATACACGCAGGTCCATTTGTACATACACATAAATATACATGCATGCACATGTATGTACTTCTACATGTGCACACAGGAACAAATATACATATATTCAACATGCATATAGCAACACATTCATACACATATTCAACACACGTGCACATGTAATCACACAAAATATCATATTCAACTATATTCTTAACCACGCCACCATGATTCTAAGTGTTAAAAATTAAATCATGAATTCCTCCAAGCAGAAAAGTTGAGGGCCTGCACTCTTCAAACCACACATGTCAGATTTAGGGGCTTTAAAATGCTTCTGGAGCCGCTTTTTATTACCCCTCGCACGGAGGGAAACCTCCGCCAGCAGTAGTGAAAGCCTTGACGTGCTGCATTTGTGGAATGTGGGTTTGCTCTTTCTTTTTTTGTGTTAAAATAAAGTCCTCTGTGGACAGGCTGAGGCACAGGGACAGAGGAGCTATGACGTCATCAGTAGGATTGTCAGACACAGAAAATAATAACACAGGACACCTAGTTAAATTTGAATTTCAGATAAACAACAAACTTTTTAGTCTAAGTTTATCCCAAATTGCAGTCATTCCTGGATCTTATCTAGCAACTCTATTTTTAGTATAAGAATATCCCAAATTGCGTGGTATGTCCTGTACTTTATCGGGCCGCCCAGAACACGGGGCATGGGGCCTGAAATCTCACAGAGCTAGGTGACAGCTGCCACTCACTTCTTGCATTTGTGCCAGAAATGGAGTTTGGTAAACACAGGGGTCTCCTGAGCACGGCGTTCGGGCTTTGCAACCTCTGGCTTCCTCTGTTGGTCAACTTTATGCTACATCCTGTTCTGACAATTACAGGGAATTAATCTATAGGGACCCCAGGCCCCCAGGGAAAGTGGGTGCACTCAGGAGCAGGGGAGACACTCGTTTGTGATCACAGAGAATTGATTGGCTGGAAATTCACCCCCCCTGAGATTCCTCTTTCCTGAGCAGCCGGAGTAAAATATTCTAATTCAAATGCTTCAACCTCAACCTGCTGTGGTTCATCAGACAACATTATTTCTTTATAAACAGGACAACGTGTTCATGAAATGAAGCACCTTTAGGGAAGTGAATTTTTCTTGATAAGATACCTAACATTTCATAATAATTCCCATCACTCTGCCTTCACCTGGTTGTGTGGACAGAACTATCTGATTATGGAGATTGCATGCAGTTGCTTAATAACAGAAGAGAAGTTTTAAATCCATCTGTTTTTCAGGGTAGAAATGACCTGATCTTAATATTTCTTTTTGGTGGAGGAGACTTTTTCTCAGCTAAGAATTAGGAAGAAGCAGCAGGATGAGAGGGCTGTGTATTGAACACCCCCAGCTGGTTTAACTCAACTCACCGAACAAATGTGATATTAAATGGGCTTCACCAAATACATCTTGGGAGAAAAACAAAGTCTTTTAGTCTCATATGATTTAATGGAATTCATGCACCACTGGTTTGTTATAAATTAAAGATTAGTGTAGTTTTTTGGTTTGGTTTGAAATACAAGGTGACAGAGACGAGTTCACTTTACAGACGTTCAGAGAAACTGTGTT